CTGTACCATTCTGCATCTCGGCCATGGCGAGAGCCGCGTCCTGGTGGGGGTCCATGCCAAACGGCTTCCCGTCATTGTTCCCGTTGACGTTATTACCCATCGGGCCCATGAGCATCGGCGGCAGCGGCGTCCTCGCCCCGCTTCCAGTGCCGCTGGAGTCAGTCCCCTTCATCTGCGATGTGCCCATGATGGTGCCATGTTCGTAAATGTTACGCAGTGCCGTCAGCGCTCTCCATAATGGTCCAGACAGCTCGATGTCCTTGTCCGTCTTGGGGATGTGAGCCGTGGGCGAGGTAGCCTCCTTCGCGGCCGTCGCGGACAGCGCGGCGATGAGGTCGCCCTGCAGCTGACGGACCTCGGGACTATTCTTCGTCTCACCCAGGATGCCGAGGAGCAGTGCGGACGAGAGACCGTGATACGTAAACGCCCAGCTGCGCGTGGGAATGACGGAGAGCTGGTGCATGGCGAGGAACATGCGGACTGTCTCGGCGAGGTTATGCTGGCACTTGTCCGAGAGATGACGCTTCTGCTCGGGGGTGAGCTTGGTGCAATCGCGGCGGAGGGCGGGGCGGCAGCAGACGGAGATGACGAATGAAGTGTGCAGGCGGACGGCGTAGTGCTGCAGGCGGTCGATGGCGCGTTTGCACTGTTCCTTGATGCGAATGTTGGGGGCGACGTTGTTGCGGAGGTTTTCAACAGCCTCGCAGTTTTCAACCATTTGCTCGTAGCTTACTGTCGTTGCCACGTCTGGGTTCAAACGCCGCGAGATGATTTCGCAGAGGTGATACATTGTGTCCAAGTAGCCGTATTCGCCGGCAATGGTGGTTGCTACTGTCGGAATCGGGCAGCAGGGGATGTTTGTCATGGGAGGACTATATTCATTAGAGTGTGTCTGATTATACGACCCTCGCAGAGTTGCTGTTCTTACCGATCAAAGGATAGTGATGTGAGGGTATCGTGCCACACGCACGTCCACCACAGCTTCCGGCGGATCATCTCCTTGGACTGTCCGTCATTCCGGGCACTGTCCCGTCCGTCAGAGGGATTCGGCCGGTGCAGGCCGAGAGACTGGGCCAGTCTGCAGGTCAGACCGAGCAGGGCCCACGAGGCTTCGGCCTTCATGTCGTTGAGGAGGACGAAGCTGGTGAGCAAGAGAGCTTGGATGGAATCGAATGTGGGTCTTGAAGCCGGTGTGGGGTCTCGGGTCAGTGGATGTTTTTTGTTTACATTTCACGGTCATTGTCCGAATAGCCGGATGGGGCCCATTCTCTATGAGATAAGGGGGTGAAAAGGGAGGAAAAGGAGGATGACTAACCGTAGTAAAAAGTTGCCGAGCCGCAAGAAATGGAACGATATTTGTATGTACTTTTGGGAGTCCCGCGTGCGGATATGATACGGCGAGTCGTGGTATTGCGACCCGACGGCCAGCAATGCAAAAAGAATGGCGAGCCATGAAGCGGATACGGGTTTCGGCGTGCGTGCGGCGTTGCTCGCGTTGCGGGCGCGGTCTTCGAGGTAGACCATGAGCTTAGACTCGAGGTCATCAATATCGACGACGAAGCCCCAGAATTGTTGGGGAGTCTCTTTGTATGTGCGGAACAGCCTTCATTTTGTTAGTCCTCCTACTGTCCCTCGTGAAGTGAAGAGACACCTACTTCATGACTTCCCGATCCGAGGGCAGCTCCGCCGAAATCTCCCTCGTCAGACTATCGAGATGTTTTGATGACATGAGCGGGAAGGGCGCAGAGGTATCGAGTCCGAGAATGGACCTCATGTCCTGCCGTATATCGACGCCCTCTTGCAGATCGTTGGCGCCGGACTGCTCCCTCAACAGGGAGGGGATACTATTTTGGCCGAGATACCGCGTGACGGCCTCGGGGGCCTCGGTTTCGTCCACCACGCCTGCAGCTACTGGTCCCCGGGGGAGCTTATCAGTATACAACCCGTTGTTGTTTCCCATGAACGACGACGACGATGCTGCAGAAGCAAAAGGTCTCAAACCAGAATGGATATGCTGGTCTTGCGGCAGTGAAGACGACAATGATGACTTACCGATGGCCGCGCGTGGCCAGGTCGCGCTGCCGGGTTCCTGCTTTAAGGGAGGTTGGCCCGCGGCGATGTCTGCGGCAGGATCTTCAGGCGAGTGCGGTCTTTTGCGATTGAGCACTGATGAAGCCGTGCCGTTGCCTGCTGTAGTCGGCGCCGTTGTGGAGGTGGCACCATTACCGCCGGCATTGCTATTGCCGCCCTCTGTTGTGACGGAGCCGGCGGCCTTGTGGTTTGTACCGTGAGAGGCTGTGCGATTTGGCTTGTAGGAGCATAGTTGTGGGTGTTCTCGCTTAACGCAGTTTTCGCATGGTTGTTTGTTGTCGCACTTTACCTTGCGTTGGCGACATGGCCAGCAAGCGGTGCCTTTGGAGGAGTCAGTACGAGTCAACAGATGATGAGATGAGTGATTTATGATATGGGGGTGAGATGAAGATGAGAGGATGTGAAGATCAAGTCATCTAATCTCTGTTGCCTAAAGAATATGGGATGAAATGAGATGAGGGTTGTTGAGCAGACGGCATATGTTTGTCCGTTCACAGGTGGCAAGGAGAATAAGTCTCTCATGAATGGATCAGTCTCACTCACCATATCTGACCTTGCGGTGAGAGTGGATGATGCGGTTGGCCTCCTCGGGGGTGAGATCATCGATGGAGGCCTGGTCCGGGGTTGGGGTGGTTTGCGACTCGGTCATGATGGCGACGGGCTTTGCATCAGACCCGGGTGTCGTCGGCGGCGTGGGCGGCGGAAGTGAAGATGGTGGTGGAGGACGTCACGGATACGGTGGCAGCTACAGATGCAGCTCGTTGTTTACCGCTTTGAGAGTCTGACAGACCGTGGTGACGATATCTGCTTTCTCCGGACCTCTGTATGGGACAGGCACAGAAAGGCGGGAACTCCCCCTTTCGAAGCCCGTCCGCCGGGTTGGAAAGATTTACAGTTCACGGAAGTGACGGGGGGCCAGCCGGGCGGCCGATCGGAGGCGATGAGCGCGTGCGGCGTGGAGAGTTGCGTGCAGGCGGCGGGCTCTTCACTCGGGAGTTGCAATTTCCTGGGGCAAGGCGAAAACGTCGTTCGGCGTACGGTCCTGGCGTGTGTGGTCGGGTGTCTCTGTGTCTCTGATTCGGGATGCCGGTGTTGGTGGCCGGAGGCGGGTAATGGATGTGGGAAAGACAATTCGGGATTTGAGAGGTCCCAGTTGCGGCGGCTAGATGTACCTCCTTAGGTAAGGCAAGGCAAGGCAATGATGCGTGCTTCTGGATTGGTCTTCTTCTCCCTTCCTTTTTTTCTCTGCCACCCGGTTGCGCGTTACCGGCCGTTGAGAAGAGGAAACGAGAAACGAGAAAATGGAGCTTGTGCTGTTTGCGGTTCAGAGCCTGGCCAGGCTGGCTGGTGTGTGGTTCCAATGGTTCCAATGCGGCTCCGTTGTTGGCGAAAGAGGAGTCCCTTCTTTTTTTTGCCCTTGAAGAGGGGGGGCGTTTGGAGGTTGGGGATTGGAGGAGACGAGGAGCAGATGAGGGGACCAGCAAAAGAAGCTACAGCCTAGGTGAAGACTGAATGCCGAGATCCCGAAGCGACGGCGAGATGGGCGTTTGCGAATCGCAGATGGGTTCGCAGCACTGAACAGTAGCAGCAGAGACGATGACAGCTGCAAGGTAACGCAGTGCGCGCCATGCAATCGGGCGAGACACGACGCACCGGGAATGAAGGATTTCTCCAGGAGTGTTGAGTATCCAAAAGACGGAAAAGGAAAGAAGAGAAGGGAGAGAGAGAAGATGTCAATGGAACACACTGGATACAGGACCGGACAGGACAAGGAGGCGCAACGAAAGAGACGGGAAGCAGCGGGGTCAGTCAAGCTGAGAGGCGTTGGTCCAATGTCTGTGTTTCTTCAACTCCTTCCTCCAGTTGGCTGCCGCGCTGCCCCTTCCCCTCCGGCTGCGTGGGACCCTTGGAATTTCCATCCATTGCTTAGCTAAGTCTACTTGATGAGTAAGACTGGACCAAAAAATAGAAGGAATTCCGCAGTGGAAACGCTACGGGTGGCCCTGCCTTCCAGCCTTTCTGACTGCTCACTGATCGCTCTGAGGCCAGGGCAGCTTCGGATCACCCACGCTAAAGCCAGACCAGGTATAACTCAGCTTCACTCTTGCTCAACTGCCAAGGCCCACTCGTGACTTACCCCACTTTTGAGTCCTCGACACCTTCCAGACTCTCGTTTCTGCCTTCCTTCCTTCGCTGTCACTCCATCACCAGACCAACTACCGGTACCCTTTGCTTACATAAAAGAGCGCGGCGCAGCTCGATTTGATCGGTGATAAACACCGCAGCACGGGCACGGTGTACCTACCTTATGCTTCCACCTCAGAGTCTCCCGACGGGAGTCTGTCGTCACCTGGGCGGGGCTACAGGTGACCATCGGTGAACGTGAACGCTTTTCGGTGTGAGTCAAGTTAAGCATTTCGCTGTAGATCTAGATTCAGACCGACACCCTTTCTTCGCCCCCTGAAGCCCTAGATCGACAACATCGTAAAGCCCCTACGAGCAGATTGATATCAACCATTGACAGTCGAAATTGTCAAAATGTCTCTGCCCTCACGTCATGTTGTTATCTGACCTGCAAGGGCATATCGTCTTCCGTGAGCCGAATTGTGGTCCATGTTGCGTCACTACATGCTGCTGCTTGAGTCAGTCACATCTTCATCCCTGATTGAGTTCCGTGATCCGAATGGATACAATAGCCATAAACAACGTGATTGCGAAAGAGGTTTTCTAATCGTGGCCTGCTGAACAATAGGACCAGCTAGTTGGTTGGCTCAGAGGAAAACACTATCTCTCAGCAAGCACGGGAAAATCTTCAGCCCATGAGACTAGACATGATTGATTAAAAACTACTTGGGTACTATTAAAGTCGCCGCATCCGCACTACAAATCGACTGCAAACGTTATGCTATCTACAGCGATGCACTCAGGGGCAGGTCTCTTGATGAGCTTCCAACCCACACCTTCTTCGGGTACTCGCTGATGACCCAGTTTTGGCTCGCTGTGTCCCAGTTGCTGAGGTCACGTCTGGTAATCTCCGCCTTGAACGTCGCCGACGCGCCCACCTCAATAGGGATGCGCTCAAACCCACGGAGCACCTTGACGGGATCCTCTGGCCCGCCGAGCGAGACGTAGAGCTGAGCAACCTCGTCACCAGCAACCTTGCCCGTGTTGGTCACCGTAGCAGTCACCGTGTAGAGGACATCCCAAAGCTGCGGGTTGCCGCCAGGGGCTCCGGATGCGGGGTGCTTGGGCTGAGGAGTGCTCGCAACAGCGTTGGGAGGAAGGAATTCCTCGGCAGTCTTGCCGTAGGTTGGGTCGTTGGCAGACTCTTTAACATCCGACGTGTTCAGGTAGGGGTAGATGAAGTTGTAGATATACCGGAACTCATTGCTGGGGAAGACGTACTCGGCCGGGTCAGTGCTGTAGTTGCCGAATGTGGGTGCTGCCGCCGTCTCCCCAGTCGTCGGGGAATACGCGCCGGCATTGCCCTTGGTCACGGCCAAGTTGGAGTACTCAAAGGTGGTGTATGAGAGACCAAATCCGAAGGGGTAGATGGGTGCAACGTCGGAGCTGTTGGATCCAGCAGTAGCACGGTCAAAGTGGCGGTAGTCAATGAAGACGCCCTCAGTGAAGTCGTCTTGGGGCGCTGCCTCGCCATTGTTGGGCTCGTACAAAACATCGGCACCGTAGCTCTCGCGGTTGGGGCCCCATGTGAAAGGAGACTTGCCTCCCGGGTTAACGTTTCCGTAGAGGACGTCAGCAATGGAGTTACCGGACTCTTGCCCCGGAAGGCCGGCCCAAACAATAGCGGTGATGTTGGGGTTGTTGACCATGTCAGTCAACAGAACTGGGCCGATGGAGTGAATCACAACAATGGTGTTGTTGTTGATCGCCGACACATTCTTGACAAGCTCATCTCCGGCGTTCCAAAGCGTCAGGTTCTGGCGGTCGCCCTCGTTACCTCCTACGTTGATGAAACCTTCACCACCGTTGGCATTGACAAACACGATTGCCGTGGCATCTGCCTGGGAAACCAAAGCCGTGGTAGCCGCAGTGTCGTAATTGCTCAAAATGCTTTCGTAACGAGTACCATCGGCAACAGCACGGGCAGACAATCCCTGGTCAGGGGTGACCAAGTAAGGGTACTCTGCCGTTCCTGATCCCCATGCAGCACCCAGAGTGCCGTCATTGCAGCCTCGGTTGTCGCATCCGTTGGGCCCTTTGAGGTTGGGTCCAGCATCCTCTCCAATGACTGCCAAGAACTTGGGCTTGTTGAGCGGCAAGGCGCCATTGTTCTTCAACAAAACAGTGGCCTTGGCGGCAATCTCACGAATCAGGTTGGCGTGGTCTCTGCCCTTACGAACATCAACGTGCTGGTTGATGACCTGGGTGTTTTCCTTGGCGTAGTATTGAACAGGTCCGACAGTGTCCTTTGTCCATGAGGAGAAGGTGAGTTCCGGAACTGACTCCACCTCAAAGCCGACCTTGAAAAAGGCAGCCATGATACGCAGAGCCATGTCGTCGAGGCGATACTCGGGAACGGTGCCGTTGAGGACAGCAACGGTCAAGTTGGTTCCCCAGAATGTAGTTCCGGTATTGAAGAGAACGTCACCCGGCATGGCCATGTCGAGGCCTGCAACAGCGGTAGCAGCACCGGCCTATTCCAGAGTCAGCTTGGCAATTCTACACGAGCTGGGAGAGAGAGGCGAATAAAGTCAAATCTTTCTTCAACTATCGAGGGGATACGCACGTGTTGAGCTTGCCTGGAGTCATGTTAGCCATTGTCCCTCTACATATCCAGAGCAATACCGGAAACCACTCACCAATCAGACATGATGAATCCTTGAAAGCCGAGCTCTTCCTTGAGAAGTCCGTTGAGAAGCTTCGAGTTCTGGCAACCGTACGAGTTGTTGACTTGGTTGTACGAGCACATGATGGAACCAACGCCGGCGCGGATGGCATCGGCAAATGGCCACATGTAGAGCTCGTGCATAGTCTTATCATCAATATTGGACGAGATGGACTCGGTAATGTTGTATCCGTAGCCAATAGCTTCCGGAGCTTGTCTGAAGTGTTCCTGCTCGTTGCCAACGAAATGCTTGGCGCAAGCAATTGCGTGCTGCTGGATACCCTTAACCGACTCGGCCATGGCGATACCTGTGAGGTAAGGGTCCACGGAGAAGCCCTCCCAGTTGCGGCCTCCAGTCGGTGCACGACCAATGGGTCCGGCAACGGGGGCGAGGACAACGTCAATACCCTTGGAGCGGTGTTCGAAACCGATGGCCTCGGCTCTGCGGTAGATCAAGCTTCGGTCCCAGGTCGCGGCGACAGTCTGGCCAGAGGGGAAAACGGAGTTATAGTCGGTGAAACGAATGCCAACGGGGCCATCTTGCATGCAAAGACCACGAAGGCCGAGGCGGGGAACAGAACCGACGTTTCCAACACAAACGTCTCCTTGCCATCTGTAGTCGTGTTAGCCATTTTCGGTTGAAAAGAAGACGGGACACGTACCCGACTCCAGTGGTCAAGTTGACCTTCTCGAGAAGAGTCAATTGGGAGACAAAGTCCTTGGCTTTGGCATAGGCATCAGCCCAGCCGTCGGCACTGGGGTCCATCCATGGTGATGGGTAGACTGGAGGCGAGTGTGCGAGATCGCGCTGTGGACATTGTAAGTCTCGTGGGCATTCTAAGAGCTGTGATAGACCGAGAGCGGAACTAAGAGAGCGAAGGAAACGCATGATTGCGATTACAAGATGGCCAATGGGGCGCACAGCTGTTTAGAATGATGATACGGAAGACCACGAATTGCAGGTTGGATAGCGAGATCAAGAAGACAAGCCTCATAAGCAGCAAGACGCCTTCCATCAAGCTAGATTCCACGAAGACATGGCTCCTGCATACCGATCCTTCTTTTCCAGGACAAATTCATGCTCCGGTCAAGCTGAAAGGTGGTTTCACAAAAATACGAGATCGATGATGAACCGCAGCGGCAGCAGCTTACCTTGTGTAGCTTTCCTTCAGGCGCCACAGCAGCAGCGACCTGATCAGCCGCCGCCAGAAGGGCGACGACGAGAATTTTTGTTCTCATTGTGAATCCCTGCCTTTGCTGGGCGTGTTGTGTATCGGGGGAGGACAGAGGCGACGGTGTAAGGAGGTCCTAGTCGAAGTGAATCGGTGACCCGGCGTTCAATGGCACTGGACACAAGGTGTGAGCACTCGAGTAGCCACTGGTAGTACGGCTCGTTGTAGTGTCGGTGAATGTGAAGCTCTAGTCTCGTGGAAGGAGAGCACAGAACCTTGACCGAGAGGTTGGATGAAGGCGGGCGCGGCTGCTACTTTAATGTCGACAGAGGAGCTGGGATGATCGTCCAGGGTAGCTCCTCCAGGAAACAAGCTCGAACTCTTTCTCTCGGCCTCTAGGGTAGTATCCGTAGGCAGAGAAGGTGCCGGGGGCAAGGTGCTGGGCCCGCAGAGACGGCGGTGTTGATCTGGGCTGGACCTGATGATGCAACAAGGTTTCCCTGCTTACAAGCTGTGGTGAAATGGGACCAACTTGTGGGCATATGCAGCACGCTGGACGGATGCTACCCCACCACACCACAGATGAATTCTGGGGAGGGTCGTGAAGTATCCCACCGCCTCTGACTAACACGCGTGTACTTTAGGTTGTCTTGGAAATGGTGCCGTACACTGCGGGGAGGGCAAGACTCGGTTGGATGCGGAGAAGACGACGATGTATGGCGAAGACAAAGACGAGGACAACGCCAGCGTGCAGGAGGAAGGTCATATGAGTTGGAGATGGAGGGCGGCCTGTAGCTCAGACTGGGTCGAGTTGCGCTCGAGGCAGGCTCTAATTCGACTTTGAAAGGGGCGCTCAAGGAGTCAGGGGCTCGAGGGGAGCTTGCGTTCGAGACATTGGAGAGAGGGAGCCAAAGTCCGGGGCAAACGCCGTCCCGAAACTGGGGAGAGGCGAGCGGCGTGAATGGCACCTATCCGCAGAGGTGTATGTAATGGTTGGGTTCGCTGAGCCACTAGGAGCAGGGTGCAGTAATAGTATCCGTACGTCATGTCGAAAAAGGGCCGATCAGCAAGTGCGATGACGGACAGGGCGAGACCAGGAATGGCCGGACAGGAGAGATGACGGGACTCGGGCCCTCGGGTGAGATAAGTAGAGACTGGAGAGTCATTGGGTCTCGGGAAGAGGCACCGAGTGTCTCTAGAAGCTGGGTATGGCGTATCTGATGTGAGTAATTCGATGTTGTCGGAAAATGGACGAACGAGATCTTTGACGCTTGGTGAATTCGAGCTTGCCCTCGCCAATGTTGTGTTTTGACACTAGAATGTTGGCAGAGAATGCAAAGACGGGAGGAGAGAAAGTCCAAGCTAACGGACCGGGGAATAAGAGACTGGCTCTGGGGTACGTATCGATGTGGTTCAGTAAACAAATCGGAACGGGTGGGGAAGCGGGGCCCCTCCTCTTTGCCCCAGAGCGAGAGGGAAACAACGCTCCACGGAGTGAGTCGTGACTGCCTCCCACGAAGTACAAAGCCTCAATCATTTGGAGATTGGAAAGAAGCGATGGGAGGAAATTGCCTTGGACGGCAGAAACGGCAGGAATCGGTCAACGACCGGGAGGAAACATGTCGATACGCGGGGCATGCCATCGTGGCTGCATGTATTCCGGCAGTACTCCCTACCATTCGCATGCTCCTTCCAACGCTAACGAGTTCCTGGTCTAGAGGCGGTTCCCGGTCGTGGTGGCGTTGCGCCAACCCACGCCTTCCCGCCGTTGGCAATTTAGAGAGGCGTCCTATTTCTTTCGTCTGCTTTCAGAAAGAGACGTTTCTTTCCATTCATGACGGCTTCGATGGAACTTGGACGCCACCAATTGGTCGACGTTTTGCCAAACTGGTTCCCACCGTCTGCAGCAGCGTTACATCCGTGGTTGACCCGGGCGAATTTCTCCAAGCCTCAAGGTTCTCTCTTTCTCCCGTTTCTCTCTCCTTTTCCCGGTTGGTACATACTGCATACTTGATGGAAATGGTATGCGCATGATGAGCAGGATTTTGAGTGCCTTGGGCTGCAGATCGGAATAAACACTCTCCACACCACGCTCGGCATTTTATTCGCTTGGCACGCGTCTTTGTCATTCCGTCTGAGCTATTGACAGAGAGTGCAATAAACAAATTTTTACGCAGTAAATAAGGAAAATGCAACGTCCCGGGATGGAGGCTCCAAGACATAAACTCAAAAACATGCCGGTGCCTGAATCATTGGCACTTTTTAGAGGTAGAGGGACGGAGGCGCAGACGCACTTTTGCAAGTACCTACAGGCTACTTTGTACGGAGCATCCGTCTCATCTACGGATGTTAAACCGGATGCTAAACCTATGCTTAAACTTGTACTTTTCCCGTCATCCCAATTCTCTCGCCGTTGCATGAAAACCATAATCTCCCTTCCTCGCACTGATCATTGATGATGAGAAATTCAGCTCGTCCAACGTCCAACACGGCGACTTACATGACGCCACGCCAAACCAACCAACCTCTACAGTCTACACCGCACACCGCAGTGAGGTACTTTGCATGCTGGGCATCGGCGACAACGCATCCCCCGCCTCTCGGCTCTTCCTCACCCACACACACTTTTCTTCTCCATCTTCAGTCTCCAGTTTGCCTCCCCCCTCATCTCCCCCGCATTTCGAACCCAGCCAATCCACTCGGCCCTCTGCTACCCCTCACCACCCAAATACTGTCCCCATCTCCAGACTCCATCATCCATCGTCCCCGCGGAATACCGGGTACTTTCATACCCATCATGAATCAAGCTTGAATGTACGGAGTACTCGCTACTGTGCGCATCGAATGTTCACAGTGAAAGAGGCCATGTGCCAAGGAGCGGGGTCTCCGAGTCCTTTCGGCCCGTTTACTATGTACTTTATTGGAGAAGCTTCATCGCTGTAGCGGCCAACTTCGGCTCTCGCGATGGAAGCTCACGAACAGAAGGAAGAAAAGTTCGCGTGGATTGCATGCCCTGCCCTTACGGTCAATCACCATCAGAGTCGGAGTTCCGATCTGACGTACTCGTGCAGCTCGCAGCTCGCAGTAAAGCACGTAACGTTCCCTCGTACCCAAGCAGGCGGACAACCGTCTAATTCGACGCTTCATCTGTCCAGTCTGCCTCTCGAGGTTACCGGCGTGCCTACTATTGGACAAAGACTCACAAAATGCATAGCGGGGGGGTTCGGTGAGAAGTAAGCAGCAAAAGGCAAAAAGAAGCTTATGATGACTAGACGACCTGTCTAGTTCCACAATCACGCCCGATTAAAAGTCACTTACGCACCCGAATTCCTTCGCCTTGGCTTCAGAAGATAGCGCTTCTGAAGATCCCAGCCATGAACGCCACATGCCCGACTGATTATTCAACGCCCCTTAGCCGGGCGAGCCAGAGCCGACTACTAAGTTAGCAGAAGCTCCAGGTAAACCCACGATCCAGGTGATCCGCAATATCCACCAGCTTCACGACCCAACAAACGGGCCGAAGTGGTACCCATCCGTATGCGTCTCTGGGCCTGCTTTCCGGAGCCGTCTCCTGATCTCTCAGGGTCTCAGTAGACACCAGGAAGGATTCTCCACCGGACAATCTTCTTGTACTTCTCCCAGTCCTCGCCGTACTTGCGAGAACACTTCTCGTCATCGCGGCGGTCGCGGTGGATCAGTAAGACGGCAAAGTAAACAATGTAAAAGTAGGTGATGGGAGTCGCCATGCCACGAGCCGCGCCCTGGATAACCTCACGACCATCAGCCATCTTAAAAGCTCCCTCGAGTC